TGTCTACTACTAGTCTGGCAGAGGATTGAGTTTGAGGTGCCTAGTCAGAGCAGAGTTTCTGCTCATCTGAAACTGAGTCACCCTCTGCTTGTTTAAGGGGTCTCAAGGTTTTGACCATCAGCTTGACATCAGTTTCTGCTGGTCTCAGAGTTGCCAGAGGAAGTGTGTTTGTCAGTTTTTCTTGTTATCAGCCAGCTCCTGGTATGGATACTATTGCTATTCCAAGTTGCTACTTTGACTAGGAATCCACCTACAATGGTTCAAACCTACTGCCCCACCCCTTTAGTAGTTCATTGCCCTGTACTTTTTTTTAAAAAAAGGATTTCAGATGTACTTTATTTCATGAGTACTTAGTGCTTTTAATTGATATCAGTTATAAGTTGGTTTTTAAACAGTTCTGTATTACACTACTAGCTGATTTGATTACTGATCTCTCCATTCCTTTGGAGAGACTGCCAACAGGGGACAAGTTCCATTTTGTCTCAGTTTGTGTTGCTATGTAAGTCCATGTAGCAACATAAAGGCAGCATTACCGTATTTGTCATGGAAATCAGGTACACATATCTGGTGGCTTAGCCTTAATGTTACTTAATGCTTAGAATTTGAAGACAAGTTAGTGTTGTTTTTAGCTAAGAGAAGCATCATGAAGAAGTAAACAGAGCTCCTTGTTTGGAAAAATTCCCAGTGAGTACCCTTGCAAAGAGTCTTGAAAAACAAAATGGCTTTCTGCAGAGTTGCTTAAAGAGATTTATATATGTATGTTAGGGATGTCAGGAGGCACTTGTCTTTAGAAAGACACTGGGAAAAGTTAGAGGGTCAGTAGAAGAGAGGAAGACCTTCAGTGAGATGGATTGATAGAATGACTGCAGTAGGCTTGAGTGTGGTGGCAAGTGATTGTGAGGATGGTACAAGATAGGACATGGTTCTTGATCTGTTCTTCATAGTAATGCTAAGAGTATGTTTGTAGTTGACTTGACAGCACTAAACAGCTTACGTGTATGCATGTGTGTGTGTGTGTAGAGAGAGAGATGCAGAGGGACAAGCAGACAAACATATACTGATTGATTGAGATTACAAGATGGTGGACCATATGCTTATAGAGGCAAGCCACATATCTGTAGTTAAGACTTCAAGACAGATGTCTGTGAGGCAGGGTCTCAAGCTTATGGCTTTGGGGATAGCTAATTTTAGAGGCTGGCATGTCCAAAGGTTACTCACTGTTGGGAAGCAGTGTTGCAGATGATTGGCTTTGGAGACTGCTACATTTTACAGGAAATTGCCAGAAATTCAGGCTGTATTTAGAAGAGACTGTGACCCAAGGGATGTCATTGCAGATGTCAGATGGAGCTTAGCTGAAAGCAGAGAATATGAAAAATGCTTGTGTTTTTTGACTATGCAAAGACATTTGACTCGGTGGATATTACAAATAATGGTTAACGTTAAAGAAGAGTGAGAATCCCAGAACACTTAATTGTGTGCATATGAAATTTCAATGTAGATCGAGAAGCAATTGGCTGAACAGAACAAGACAACATTGCATGATTTTAAAATAATGTGTGTATCAGAATGGTATCCTTTATACCTAAGTCAGTCTGTATGTTAAGCAAATAATTTGAAAAGCTGACATTAAATGAAGAATGTAGCTTTAGGATTGAAAGAAGCCTCATTAACAGTGTATGTTTGGCAGATGACACAACCTTATTGTAGAAAGTGAAGAGGACTTGAAGTATTTAATGAAGATCAAAAACCTTCAACATGGATTACATCTCAACATCAGGATAACAAAAATCCTTATCACTGGGACCAGTAGGTAATATTTTGATAGGCAGAGAAAAGATTGAAATTGTCAACTGTTTGATTTTACTTAGATCCACACACAGTTACTGCTTACGGTAATGGCAGTGAAGAAATCAAAAGACATTGTATATAAGGAAAATCTACTGTCAGGGACCGCGACCACCAGAGTGCTGAAGCTCATGCACGTCAATTTAAAGACTAACATATCTGAAAGTTGAATGATTTATAAGGATGACAGAAGAAAATTGATCCCTTTGAGTATTGCTGTTATAGAAGAGTACTGAATATCCCATGGACTGACAATAGAATAAAGTCTGTCTTGGAAGGAAGTACAACCTAGGGTGCTCCTTAGAGTCAAGGAGGGTGAAACTACTGTCTTACATACTTTGGACATGTTGACAAGAGAGTACAGTCCTTGGAAAAAGATTGAGAAAGGTCGAGAATCAGAAGAAGAGACCCTTATCAAGAAGGGTTGACACAGTGACTATAAAAATGGGCTGTAGCATATCAGAAATGGTGAGGATGGTGTAAGACAGGGCAAGGTTTAGTTTTGTTATTCTAAGGTAACAGTTGTAGACAGTTTGATGGCGCCTAACAACAGTGTATTTTACAGAGGATCATGACCATTATGTTGACACACAGTATTAACCTGTCAGCTATTTTACCAAAAAGCCCCATTTTAGTAATATTTATTTGGCATTTTCAGTGACATTAATTATACATTCACTATATTGTGCTCTCATCACTATTATCCAGAACCAAAAATTTTACCTCACTCCAGGTAGAAGAAACTAACACTCCAAACATAAACTAAGTACTCCTTTAACCTTAATTCCCATTTTGTCCATAATCACTATGCTTTTGTTTCTATTACATTTGCCTAGTTTTGTTATGTTCTGTAAATGGAATTGTATAGTATTTGTTATTCCATTGAATTTATTATGCCTAAAATATTTTTTTCAAGATTCATCAGAATTTAGTTTTTTATGCCATCATAATTTCTTTTATATGAACAGGCCACATTTTTTGTATCAATCAGTTCATTCATTGATGAACTTTTAGACTATTTTCCATCTTTTGTCTGTTGCTGTTAATATTGGAGTAGTGCACATTGGTATACATGTATCTTCGTGATATTACTACTTTCAGTTCTTTGGAGTATATGCCAAGTAGAATTGCTAGATCATAGGATAATTTATATTTAACTTTTCATGAAACTGTCTAAATGCTTTCAACAATAGTTGTATCATTTTATAATCTCACCAGCAGTGGATAATGATTTTTTTTTTCTGTGTCTTCACCAATACCTGCTTTTTTACATTTTAAGAAATCATAGCTATTTTAGTGGACATGAATTCATATATCATTGCGGGTTTGATTGACATTTCTTTGAGGGACCAGTCCTTGGAGAAGGTCTTGCTTGGAAGGAGGGACCAATGCACAAGAGGAAGACTCTGGATGAGATGGATTGACACTGTGATTGGAGTAATAGGGGCCAGGAGTATTGGAGACAGTGAGATTGGTTCAGGATAAGAGATCAGAACTGTTGTGCCTAGAGTCTCTGTGAGTCGCAGGCAGCTCGATGGCACATAACAACCACAACAACAATGATTATTACTATTTAGCATCTTTTCATGTGCCTGTTGGACAGCTTTGTAATTCTTTGGCAAAATATTTATTAATTCCCTTGCCCATTTTTTTGATTAAGTGGGGTTTTTGTTATTAAACTGTAGAGGTTCTTTTTATATTCTTGCTGTTTAACATGTTGCTGCACACTGTAAAATTGGCGACCGTGCTTAGAAACACGTTATGCCGGCATTTGTGGCAGCGTGTATATCCAGTAACCACTCCCAGTCTTTGAGTAACTTCTAACTCATGTTGTTGTTACATGCCATCAAGTCAGCTCTGACTCGGCGATCCTGTGTATGAATAGCTCTGAAGCCAGCTCTGTCTTGAGCCAATCTCATTGTCTCTGACATACCTACCACAGTTAAGTTAGTCACTGAGTCAATCCATCTCATCCAGGGTCTTCTCTCTTGTGCTGTCCCTCTACCCTTCCAAGCATGATGTCCCTCCCCGAGGACTGGTCCCTCCTTGCAACATGGCAAAGTATGTCAGTTCAAGCTTCAAAATTCTTGTGTCTGGAACAGCCTGGTTTCACCATCTTCAGGATGAACATGTTTGTTGATAGCGATCCTCTATTGGATTTCTGATATTGGAAATCATTGTAGGAATAAACTGTCCATTTTTCTGTTGCAGAGCATCCGGTGAATTTGAACTGCTGACCATTTGGTTATCAGCCTCATACCTGATGCACTCTTTAGTTGTGACTCCTTATGATATATGTAAAATCAAAAACTCAAGTCCTGAATCAATTACTTCTGATTCCAGCTCATAGGGACTCATACTTCAGATTTCTGAGACGGTAAATTTTTACAGAAGGTGACAACTATCAGATATATAATTGTCTTCAGTTTTTGCCAAACCTCTAGATTGTCTCTTAATGTTGATGAAGTTCCATGTGTCCATTTTGTCTTTTCTTGCTCATGGATTTGGTGTCATATCTCAGAATCCACTAATAAAAACTAGTGCCTGAAGTATTAACTCCTGTTTTCTTCTAAGAGCCATGTGGTTTTAGAGCTTATATTTAGGTCTTTAATTCATTTTGAATTTTTTTTTTAATATGGTGTGAACTGTAGTTTCAGGTTCATTGTATTATTTATGGAAATTCAGTTGTCTCAGCTTCATTAGAGAGTTATTTCTGCTGGAAATTAATAGGGATTGTGTTAAAAGTCAATGTTCCTTTATAAAAACTGTAATTTCCAGTTAAGGAGCCATGGTGGCTTAATGTATAATGTATCACTGTTCTAACCAAAAGGTCAGCGTTTTGAATCTGCCACCCAGTCACTCCAAAGGAGAAAGATGATTAATCTATACAGATTTGTATCCCAAAAAACCCAGTGGAAGGTTACTGTGAGTGAAAATTTACTCAGTGGCAGTACTTGCCTTTTAGATTTCTGATAATATTCTACTTTAAAGCTCTTTAAAAGGGGAAAAAAGTGTTCAACTACAAGTATATTATGATTTTGAAATGGCTTAGTGGCATTCAGTTTTATTGCACATAGTGGGTTAGTACTGTATTTCATAAAGTTGAAGATTAATCCTTGTGAATTGCTTACTAAATTTTAATTATTTTTTACCAGACGATCTGCCAAATCCCGAAGCAGAAGCCCATATTCATCTAGGCATTCAAGGTCTCGTAGCAGGCACAGGCTATCTAGATCCAGAAGTCGTCATTCTAGCATTTCTCCTAGCACACTAACTCTGAAGAGTAGCCTGGCAGCTGAGTTGAACAAGAATAAAAAAGCACGAGCTGCAGAGGCTGCAAGAGCTGCAGAAGCAGCAAAAGCCGCAGAAGCAGCTAAGGCTGCTGAGACTGCTGCTAAAGCTGCAAAACCTTCCAATAATTCTACACCTACCAAGGGGAACACAGATGCTGGAGTCACTGCATCACAGACAAACCACGTGAAAGATGTGAAGAAACTTAAAACTGAGTGTGCGCCTTCTCCCTCAAGTGGTGGAACTTTAAAAAATGACAAGGCAAAAACAAAGCCACTTATTCAGGTAACAAAAGTGGATAATAATTTGATTGTAGATAAATCTACAAAGAAAGCAGTTGTGGTTGGGAAAGAGAGCAAATCTGCTGCCACAAAGGACGAGTCAGTACCTCTGAAAGAGAAAACCAAACCACTTACACTAAACGTAGGAGGCAAGGAGAAGGAACAACATGTGACTATAGTGACTTCTACATTACCACCGTTACCTTTGCCTCCCATGCTGCCTGAAGATAAAGATGCTGAAAGGTAAGTGCAAATTTTTTTTTTATTTTTAATTTTTTAAATGGGGGAAAAAAGAAAATTTTCACATTGAAGTGAAAAGTTATTGCCTGCCCCACTTTAAACTCAGTAAAAACATTACTTGTAAGATGAAAATTATGCAAAGAAATCTAGGGGAAAAAAATTACCTAGGACAAAAATACCTAGTATCTGAATTCGGAGTGCTGTTGAGTTTATTTTTGTGAGCTGTCTTGCCAACCTGAATTTGGTCAGGTATTATTATAAACGTCAGTATTTTTTAACTTAATATTCCTTGATGATACTATCAGCAACAGGTTATTTTATGTGAGAGTCTACCCTTAAATCTTAGAAGCATATCAATTATTTGTAGATTTCTTGATGACTTTCTGAACTTATTATTCTTCTGGGCCCTTTAGGTTAGCGACTCGATAGCACATAATAGCAACAACGACAACATCTTAACACCGAAAGATTTAGTATGCTTTTCTTTAGCATGTTTAAAATTGTGGATGTGTGGCTATGGCTTGACTTTTATTTTGAAAATTTTTTACCGTTTAAAAGGATGAATGTGACTATAATAAATGCAGCTAAGAATGCCTCTTTCTTATATGTATCTCAGATACTAGCATTTTACTGTTGAGTGATTTATCTGTCCATGGTACAGCTTAACATTTTTATGAAGGAATTGGAACTGATTTTTCATCATTCTCTATATAGAAAAAATTATATAAGCAATTTCTTTAACTTATTTCTTTATGGAAATTTAAAAATAGGTATAAAACTGCCATGTGAGGAGGACTTTGAGTTGCTTGGTCAGCTCAGTTTTCAATTTTTATGAAAGTGTTATCACTTAAAGAAAACAAAATTTAAATCTTAACTACTGTGAATTAATGCTCTCCAAGGTATCTTCTTCCCCCCCCACCCCAAAAAGGTAGTATGTTTCCAGGAATCTCCATCCACTTTAATCAAATGTTAGCCAATGATGTGACTCTTAACTGGGCTTTACAGTTTAAACTTTTCTCCAGAAACACCAGAGTCTTAATGATAGTGGTGATTTGTCGTTTTTGATGAGGTCCTGGAACTGGCTTTCCAGCATACAGAGGTTTGAGCCCATCATTAGTAAGAGGCATTAACCAGTTGCTTAATATCCAGCTCTCTGAAACTTGTTTTTTGTCCTTTATATGTGCTATAAATTTTTATAACTCAAAATGTATGCGTGTGAATGTTTATGAAAGCTATTTTTTGTTTGTTTTTAATGTGGTACCACACATTAATTATTGGTTATTAAAAGCTTTTTTTAGAAAATTCATCGTCTTTCTGTTCTCGGCTTTATTGTGTCTGCTGTCTTCCTTCTTTGAATATGCTTGTATTTCAAGAATATAGAAGATTCTTAAGACTGTGATTTAAAGCTATGACTAACTTGTCTCTGTAGTAGTCATAGGTAAATTCTACATTAGTGGAACTGCTCATTCTAATGGCTAAATTTCAAATACAAAAATTTTAATGTAGGATCTAATTTCATTTTTCAAAAACCTTGTAGGTGATTAAAATGAATAAAGAGGAAAAGTTAAAAGTGATTACTTTTGGAAATCGACTTTTTTATTATTATTATTTACTATTTCTTTATTATTGCCGTTAGGAGAATTCAGGGGGAAAGTTTGTCAGTAGACTGGAAGGTTTAATTTTATTTTCATTTGTGTGTATTCCTAGTTGTCTTTGTTAACCTTTCTGTGCTTTGGTATGATGTTAGCTCTGTGGATGGGAACAAGTATAATAGAGATAATGCCCAAAAGAGGGAGATGAATCATAACCTTGCTTTTCTGTTTTTCTATCATTTCTCACACTAGATACCCATTCAGGTATTTGGCTAAGGGCATGGCTTTCTCTTCATATTTCTAGCCACCTAGAGTTAAGTCAGACCTTATGAGTTAGACTTTAAATTAGAGTTCATTTAGGTCAGATCTTATGAAAAGTCTGCTTATGAAGAGTATATATGTAAGACTACTAGTTTTATTGTAGTAAAAGGATATAAATCAGGATTGTGAGGAAGAGTCCCACAGGTGACAGCTGGGAAGGTTCTCAGTAGAACTGCTATGTCTCAGAGAACGTATGTCAGCCCCTTTTTGCCAAGAAACTTTCTGAGTCTTAAGATTCCTGATTTTTATTGGTCAGTCTTGCTTGATAAGCCCAGTTATATCTTGAGAAGCTAATTGCTGTTGGCTTCCCAGGTAATAAGTTCTGATCTGGCCATTCCCTGTTTGTCAGTTTATAACCTCAAATGTTGCTTGTAAATCCCAGACAAAGGCTTCCCAGTTACTCCAAGGGTTATTTCTCAGAAATCAAGGGCAGAAATTACTTTGTTAGTTAAAATTATGTGAAAAAAATTTTTAGAAAGATGAAAAGAAAATACGGCATTGGGAGATGTTGTGGCCTAATGGAAAAGGAGTTGTACTGCAGCCCCAAAGGCTTGTAATCCACCACCTGCTCCACGGGAGAACAGTGGGCAGTCTCCTCCTGTGATTTACATCCTCTGAAAACCTGCTGTAAGGTATTTCTGACTTGATTGCACAGAACAGCAACAACATAGTGGACAGATAGATGGACAGTCTGCTCATAGTAAGACTTGCGATCGTGGAAACCCATTGGAGAGTTGCTGTGAATTGGAACAAACTTTTGGCAGCTGTGGGTTTACAGCCATATTGTGTTTAACAAGTTGGGCTGCTAACTTTAAGGCCAGTGTTCCAATCTACCATCTACTCCACAGGAGCAGTAGAGGTCCTCTTCTGTAAAAAGGTACAGCCTCAGAAACCTGATGTAGTCACAGTGAATTAGAATTGACATGATGGTGGTGTATTTTGGTTCATATGCCACATTTGGTCTGTTTAATTCTATCTAAGGGCATTAATACTAAGCTTGTTTACCTTCATAGGTTATTTTTGAGAATTAAATGTAATGGACAGAATTTTGTTAACTGTAAATGATGTACATCTCAAATGTTGTGACTGCCCTGTTAGAGTGCTAGCCAGAAGAGTAAGATGTGCAACAGTAACAGTGAATAAATGGAAATCTAACTTTTCTGTAAACTTTCCTTAAAATTACAATTAAAAGAAAAGAAATTATTTAAAAAGTTGATTTTAATATTTAAAATAGGTGATATTTTTATTAAAACCTAATTAGTGGTGGCTCTGAAGCCCAATGGATAGACACTACAGTTTTCTAAATAGATGATGTTAAATAGGCTTATTTTTAGGTAATGCTAGCATACTACTTCTTCCAAAAAACCAACTTTGCTGTCTTTCAGAGTTGATGTGACAAACCTTCTTGTGTTTCTGTACTCCTCTGGGAACCATTTTAGAGTACTTTTCCCCTATGGAGCCAAGTTGTTTTTTTACCTATTCTGTGTTTTCCAAAGGACTATCAATTCCTTGCTAAGAGGAACTATTTCTTAATGTGTTTGCTATTCTTGTTGTTAAATCTTTGTGCTTTATACAGATCTGGCACAATGAATATTTTTTTGAAACTACAAATCAGTTTCTTTTTTAGCATATTTTTCCTTTTAAATCCTAGTGAGTAACATGGAGTTATGAAGACAAGACAGAATGGTTATAGTTTATATCTGTTTATATTAAAGGATCTATTTATTTTGCAGTAATACTAATGTTCAACATTAGTGGAGATAATTATTCAAATTAATAGTATCTTTAATAATTATATGCTACATCAGTGTAGTAGTGTGTCTGTATTATTTCAGCAGAAGACTCATAGCTGCTGTGAAAGCATGAGAAAACATTAAATTTTCTCTCATTGTTCTATCATGTGCTTGGAAAAGTAGAAAGTCAGTGAAAAAGACCTTTAGTGAGATAGATTGACAGAGTGACTGCACTAAGAGGTTTTAAGCCGAGAGAGCATTTAGGAGAATGAATTAGGATTGGCAGTCTTTATCCATGGAGTAGCGGGTGGAATAGAATTCCTTGACTTTGGGTTTGCAGAGCAGCTTCTTACCTGTTAAGACCACAAGAGCCTTAGATGTATAATGTTGTTAGGTGCTGTCAAGTTACTATACATAGTGACCATATGAAGAACATATTTGAATCCTGTCTTACTCTGTACCATCCTCCTCATCTCTGATTCACTTGAGCCAATTGCTGCAGTCACTGTGTCAAAGTCTATCTTGTTGAGGGTCTTCCTCTCTTTCTCTGACCACCTTTCCATGCATGATGTCCCTCTAGTCTCTTCTGGCAAGATGCCCAAAGTATATGAGATAAAGCATTGTCATAGTGGTGATGCTGTTAGGTGCTGTTGAATCAAGTAGAACTCATAGCAAACTTTTGAACAGACCTGAACCCTGTCCTGTGTTTTACCATCCTTATCTCTGACACAGTTGAGCTTGTTGGTGCAACTTCTGTATTCTGTATCAGTACATCTTATTGGAGTGAGTCTTCCTCTCTCCCCGATTCTCTACCTTTCTAAGCAGGATGTCTTCTTTCAAAGAATAGCCTCTTTTAGCAACATGGCCTAAGGAGGAGAAAATGGTGCTTTGCTGTCTTTGCCTCCAACAGAGCAGTAGTAGCATGTGGTTTTTCTTATATCCAAACACCTTTTGACACTATAGCAATATCAAACCAGATGGTGTGACAAAACTAAACACATTTTCTTGCAAAGCCTTAGCAGTTACCTTCCAGTTCTAATTTATAGCTTTGTAGTAAATTCCGTATAATTTTTAAAATGGAACTTTTGGATAGTTTTATGTTTACAGAGAAATTAAAAATACATGACAGCGTCTATATCTTGTACTTAGTTTGTTTCCCCATTATTAACATTTTGCATTGTTATGATACATTTGTCACAAGTAATGAACCAGTATTGATACTTTATTTCAGTTTAAAGTTCTTTCTTTGTTCATGTTTTTCTTAATCTTTATCATTTTTTGCTCCGTGAATTATATATTTTGTACTTGAGCATACTATATTATTTTAGCTGAAATGTAAAGAAACTTATTTTACAATGTGAAATACTGCAGAATATTAACTACCGTTATATATCACTTAAAGACATACCACATTTTTTATCCAATTAAAAGGTTTTGGTTTGTTGTGTGTGTTTGTTTGGTTGTTGTTGGGGTTTTTTTTTGTTGTTGTTGTTGTTGTTGTTTTGTAAAGACAGGAAAGTTTAGTAAGCAGGAAAGACCCCTTCAGAAGCTAAGAGTGAGTCAATCTTGGAAGTAGGAAAAAAACAACTAAATAAATTTCTGTGTTGTGTTTTTTTAATCCTTTTTTTTTCCCCTTTATAGCCTACGAGGAAATATTTCAGTAAAAGCAGTTAAAAAAGAGGTGGAAAAGAAACTACGATGTCTACTTGCTGATTTACCACTTCCCCCTGACTTACCAGGAGGAGATGATCTAGCAAAAAGTCCAGAGGAGAAGAAAGCAACAACACAGTTACACAGCAAAAGGAGGCCTAAGTATGTGCTTGCTTTCTGTCTGCTCTTAAGAAAACAAAAATGGGTATTTGAAAGAATAAATATTTAAAATGATAAAATATATTTTCTTTCTTTATATTTGAATATATGAATAAAATTTTTCATCTTGTGTACTTATTCATAGTAGCTATTAAAACCAAATTTTACTTTCTCTCTGATTGTAAGGTGTTAATTTCTTGGGATATTATGTAAATTAGTAATATAGAAACACTGATAATAAATGAGGTTAAAGTCAGTAAGCTAACAAAATTAATAATGACCAGGCTGTGTTGCTTCCGCTTGGTTTTAGTGCAGCCTCTCCCCATAATTGAGTCCATAAGTGGAAGGAAGGAATGTTTGAGATCTATATACTATTTAGTCTCAAGTGAGTAGCTAGAGATAACAATTTTCTTGAAAATGTCTGGCACTTAGGGATAAGAGGAGCATCCCCCTTTCACTACCCCTTGTTTAATCTAGGTAAAGGTAAGTTAGATTTGAGTAGATCTAATTTTAAATTTGTTCTTATAGAGACTAATAGAAATAAGAGATTTTCTTATATGGAGTAGAAAGCTAGAAAATTTTAAATAATTTCTTCTTGGGTGCTTTTCCTTGAATTGTTATGAGCTACTACAGACTATGAAAATAATATTGAGGTATTTTGTTACGTATATATTTTTTTACATTTGTATATTTATGTTTGGTATGTAAGCATATGCACACTATATTTAAGAGTAGGTTACATACCCTTTTAGGCTGAAAGTCTATACTTGAGTTTCCATTTTTTAAAGAGATTTCATTCTTCCTTAAATAAAGTTTTATAGTTATGTTTTGCTCATGATTAATAGGTAGCTCTGGTGGCTTAGTGGTAAGAAATTGTGCTGCCAGCCTGAAGATGCATGGTTTGGATCCACCAGCTGCTTTTCCGGAGAAAGATGGGCAGTCATCTCCTGTTCAATGTACTGCCTCTGAACACTGGGTCACTTCCAACTAACAACAGTGATCATTACCAAACATTTGGTTTTTTTATAAGAACATAGGGAGGGGCGTGTGTGTGTGTGTGTGTGTGTGTGTGTGTGTGTGT